TCAAAAAAAAAAAAAAAAAAAAAAGAATAAAGACACAGACATATTTGGGGTAGCATAAACTTTTAGTATCAAGAGAGACTTCAGTTTATGCCAGGCTGTTTGCAGCCAACCCCCCATGTCTTTGGGAGCACAGGTCCTATTGTTAGTGGTAATGATTGAGAAGCACTAACCTACAGATCACTGTTTTATACTGTAGTTTAGTTCTTGTTCTAGAGCCTCCCATATAAAAATAATCAGTTCCAAGCTCAGCACTCATAGCGCAGTGGTTATGGCACCAGCCACATGCACCAAGGTGGGTTTGAACCGGCCAGGGCCAGCCAAACAACAATTACAACTGCAACAACGACAACAAAGTAGCAGGGCATTGTGGTGCATGCCTGTAGTCCCAGCTACTTGGGAGGCTGAGGCAAGAGAATGGCTTAAGCCCAGGAGTTTGAGATTGCTGTGAGCTGTGATGCCACAGCACTCTATCAAGGGTGACAAAGTGAGACTCTGTCTCAAAAAATAAAAGAAAAAAAATCAGTTCCAGTAAAACAAAAGCAGGAAAAATCTCAAGAACAGCCTAAAGAGAGAGGCTTTCATCCCAGATCTGGGTTAGGTTTGAAAAGGTATCCATCTGGCAGGATATTCTGAAACTAGGATGACATTATGCTTTGTATAAAATATGCCAGATAGTGGAGAAAGGTGAGGGGGGGAAGAGGAAGAAAAATGACCATTAGAGCAGATAAAGAGAAGCCTTCGATTGAAGTAGAGACCAGATAATAGAGAGTAAGGAAGTGAAAGGTGCTGCAGTCAAGATGTGAGCTAAGTAAAGAATCCAAATAGACCTGTGGCTAAAGATGGAACTACATTAAGATGACCAGATTTTAACATTGGTAAAGCGGGACACTATTGGGGGGGGCCTGACAACAATGCAAACTTTGATAAGCAGTTCTTGATAATCAGTTCTCAACAATTATTTGTTACTATTAAAGTTTAACATTATAAAATTAACAAAAATAATATAAAACGCATATCCTGGCGAAATAGCCACATGGCAGCTGAAAACCGTATATTCCCTTCCTGTTCTCCTGTGTTCCCTAGCTTGTCATACATTCTTTCCAAAAATCGGAGCTTTTTTAAAATGCCACAGGACACAGGACAAATTATTAAAAATCAGGACTGTCCCGCCAAAAGCAGGACATCTGGTCACCTTACTCTAGAGAAGGGGGGCTACTTGTTTGTTCCAGACAGTTTGGCTCCTTCTGAGCTAATTGTCCTTGCCTAGAAGCAAGGGAGGAAGCCAGTTTCCTTCTGATACCTTGCCCAGGAGGGGAGTAGGGAGTTTACATTAGCCTTTTCATTTCAAATGAAGTTACATTAACCTCTTCATTCCCAATTAACCTTTTCAGCAGCCCTATATTCCCTTCCTTCCGCTGTTCCCTAGCTTGTCATGCATTCTTTCCAAAAATCGGGACTTTTTAAAAACGCCACGGGATGCGGGACAAATTGTTAAAAATAAAGACTGTCCCGCCAAAAGTGGGACAGTCTGGTCACCTTAAACTACATCCAGGGTGTGGTGATGACTAGGAAATAATAAGATATCTCATAAAGTGAGATAGTTTTTGCTCTTTGAAATTCTATTTAGAATCCTCATAGATTGAAATATTCCACATCTATTTTCTCAAAGCCCTCCATTCCATCAAGTTTGAGGATGAGGTAGCAGTATCATCCAAGAACTAGCGACACATAAAGATGTGAGAGAAACAGAGGAAATAATAGGGACAGGTAGGAAGGGCGGGGTTAAAATGTATAATGGGCTCAATTGAATTCAAACGATGTTTATCAAGCGCCTATTTGGGTAAGGTATTGCCCTAGGTGATGGAGGAACAGAGGTACCCCCACTCTGCTCCAGACTTCAAGGAGTTTACAGTTATCTTTGAAGATGTCTAAGAAGGAAAAGCCAATGGTAGAAAATCCAGGATCAAATGTTCAGGCTGTCCAAGTAAGAGGGCTTGGAAACCAAACAAGGCACCATTCCTGTGATGCATACTACTTGGCCCCTTCAAGAGTGGTGAGTGTCTCAGGTTTTGGTAATCACCTGTCAGGGTACATAATGGAAAAGTGGCATGGATTTGGAGAGTGACTTTTATTTTTTATTTTTTATTTTTTTTTGAGACAGAGCCTCAAGCTGTCCCCCTGGGTAGAGTGCCGTGGCATTACAGCTCACAGCAACCTCCAACTCCTGGGCTCAAGCGAGTCTCCTGCCTCTGCCTCCCAAGTAGCTGGGACCACAGGCGCCCGCCACAACGCCCGGCTATTTTTTGGTTGCAGCCGTCATTGTTGTTTGGCGGGTCCGGGCTGGGGATTCGAACCCACCACCTTAGGTGTACGTGGCTGGCGCCTTAGCCGGTTGAGCTATAGGCGCCGAGCCGAGAGTGACTTTTAAAGGTGGACATTCCGTCCCACATCCTATAACCAAAGCATTCTGTAGACCTATTAGGAAAATATTTTCCCAATATAACCAATTAAAGAAAAACACTGCTCTGATTATCCTTTTGGATCTTAATTAAATCTTCCCCTTAACAACCTGTTACAACAAATACTAGCGTGGCAGGGAGCATCTCCAAAGGCTCTCATTTATTCTGGACTAATAAGTCTTTCATTGTAGGTGTGTGATGAATATTTTGTGAATGCTTATCCCCAAATAATTAGTTGAAATATATGTGTTCAAGAGATTTTATTACCCTAAAATCACAGAGTTTTTATTTTGATTTTTCAGTAGGCATGAAAATATACAGAGGAACACCAGCAATCTCAAATTGGGGCATAATCAGAGCAAAATTCTGATTCTGAGTCTTGGACTACCACTTCTGTATCTAATGACAAGAAACCCTACTAAGAAGGAAACTATATCATAAGTAAATCTAAATTCTTCATGGCCTTTTCTCAAACAGGAATAACTTCTGGAGATGGGATCTTTCTACAGAGAAACTGATTGCAAGTGCCAGAGAGGTGCTGCAGATAGATAAGGACAAGCCATCAGGAAAGCCTGCTCTGTGTAGTCAGCCCACAGTGACGCCCACCAGTCTATAAGCCACACTCACAGATTATGCACAACATTTTAAAAAATATTTCAGGTTAATATGAAGGTACACAGGATTAGGTTACATTATTTGCATTTGTAAGGTAAAGTCCAAAGTCTGAGTTGTAGTTAAGTCCTTCGGCCAGGAAGTGTGCCATTATGCCCTACATTATACTAGAGAGATGGCAATTTACCAAGCCCTTTCTCCTAGTTCGTGAGTTTAATTGTGTTTTTCTCCCTCTCTACTTTTTTTCTTTCTTTCTCTTTTCCTTCCTTCCTTCCTTTCTCTTTCTCTCTCTCTCCTTTCTTTTTCTTCTTTTCTTTCTTTCGACAGAGTCTCACTGTGTTGCCCTGAGTAGAGTGCTATAGAATCATAGCTCACAATAACCTTAAATTCCTAGGTTTGAATAATCCTCTTGCTTCAGCCTCCTGAGTCTTGGCCTCCCACAGTGCTAGAATTACAGATGTGAGCCATCACATCTCACCTTTAATTGTGTTTTTCTCTCACATGGGCCTGTAATTATTTATTTACTAATTTCAAATTAGTATTGAGTACATGGGATGCTTGCTTTTCCATTCTAGAGATATCTAGGAGAATGTTCTCCACATTCATCCAGGTAAATACAAAAGATGCAAAGTTTCCATCTTTTTTATGGCTGAATAGTATTCCATGATATACATAGGTCACAATTTGTTAATCTATTCATGGGTTAATGAGCACTTGGGTTGTTTCCATGGATCTTTGCTATTGTGAACTGAGCTACTACAATCAACCAAGCAAATAGACAACCTTCAGAATGAGAGAAGATATTCACACTTTATGAATTGGACAAAGGGAGATAGGATCTTTCTACAGAGAAACTGATTGTGACCAGACTATACAAAGAACTCAAGCAAATCAACAAGAAAAGCGCAAACCCCATCAATCAATGGACAAGAGACATGACTCGAACCTTTTCCCAAGAAGGTGGATGAATGGCCAACAAACACATGAAAATATGCTCACCATCCCTAATCATCAGAGAAATGCAAATCAAAACCACTCTGAGACATCAGCTGACACCAGTGAGAATAGCCCACATCACAAGGTCCCAAAACTGCAGATGCTGCTGTGGGAGCAGACAGAGGAACAAATTTATGCACTATTGGTGGGATTGCAAACTAGTACAGCCTTTTTGGAAAGAAGTATGGAGAATTCCCAAAGAACTACAGGTAGATCTCCCATTTTATCCCACAATCCTATTACTTTAGGTATCTACCCAGAAGAAAAAATCATTTTACCATATAGAGATAGGCACACCATTTTCTTTCTTTTTTTTTCTTTTTTTGTAGTGTTTGGCAGGGGCTGGGTTTGAACCTGCCACCTCCGGCATATGGGGCTGGCGCCCTAACTCCTTTGAGCCACAGGCGCCGCCCTGGCACACCATTTTTAAACATGAACATTTGAATACAGCTTCCAATGTCAAAGGCAGAACCAAAACAACAGAATAAGCCATTCAGAAAATAAACACTGACATTGTGGATCACGGAAGAAAACTTTATAAAAAAAATACAAATACCCAGGGGGACAGCTTGAGGCTCCTGTCTCAAAAAAAAAAAATACAAATAAGTTCATATTCTGAGAGGAATAAGAGAAGAAAGGGGAAATGGGGGTGTGCTTTACTCTCCTGGGTTGAATTCTGCACCCCGTATAGGAGGCTGGTAGATCTTTTGGCTGTCCTTCTTCCTCCAAAAGTGTACTTTGTGGCCATGCAATTTTTAGACAAGAGATGAGGGAAACAACAGCTAAAATTCAAACATATCTTCATGTTTGTCTCTACACTCAGTGAAGTTTTGGGCAAGAGGGCTGGCTAACAGGGCAAAAGCTAGAGTTCAAATGAAGTTTGGAGATGACCACGCTTACCTGTGACCTCTAATGGTTTATGTTCAGTATGGTCTAGTAGCTGAACAATCCAGCCTTTGTCTTCTGGCCCGTCTGCAGAAACAAATACAGAATGTGTCTACCTAGGTAATCATTAGTTGATGACACACAAGCGACTTCAATTTTCATATAATAAAGAGTTTTGCAACAGCAGGACTTTGGCTTTGGGAGTGGCTTTATGTATGATAAAACTGCCCTTATCTTTTTCTTTCTTTCTTTCTCTTTTTTTTTTTTTGAGACAGGAGCCTCAAGCTGTTCCCCTGGGTAGAGTGCCATGGCATCACAGCGCACAGCAACCTCCAACTCCTGGGCTCAAGCAAGTCTCCTGCCTCAGCCTCCCAAGTAGCTGGGACCACAGGCGCCCACCACAACACCTGCCTATTTTTTGGTTACAGCTGTTATTGTTCTTTGGCAGCCCCGGGCTGGATTCAGACTTTGGGTGTACATGGCTGGCACCTTAGCCACTTGAGCCACAGGCGCCGAGCCCCTTCATCTTTTTCAATAAGCAGATGTGTTTAACGAGAAGAGCTAATCCTCTGACTTAACCCAACCTAAGTAACATCTGTACTTTGAACAGTTAAGCATGGTCACCAGCTGATGTTATCTCGAAGGGAATGGTGAGATAAGAAACACAAATCTTTTTTTTTCTCTTAACCCCTTTTCCCTCTAACTCTTGCCAAATCATATTTCAAAGTGCTGTGTGCTAAAATTAAGCCAGAGGCACAAACAAGGAGACCTCAAATCAAATAACTGGCGGCAAAGGGGAGATTCAGTAGCTTGCGGTCGCCATTACAACCACATCTACTGGAAGGTGTGTGTAGGGGGAACCCACAGAATATGAGGTAAAATGTGCAAGATTGGGAAAAGTGGGTGGTATGCTGTTTTCCTTTTCCATGGAAGAAATGAGAAGGAAATCAAAGCCTTTTCAAAAAGAAGGAAATAGACTTCTTGGCTCCTCTAACGTCAGAACAAACAAAGCATAACCAGAGATAATGCCCCACCCCCGGCTTGTCTCAGCTGCTCTCCCTTGTAAAATCAAGGGGCCATATTTCATAAAGCCTTTATATCAATAGCATATCTCCTTCCAGAATCACTTTTATGCCACAGAAAGAACTAAGTCCGAAGGGCACCAGGCTGGTCTCGCAGTATATTCTGATTTTTCTGCGCGCTTCCCAGGCTTAACACTCATGTTATATTGAATCTATGGATTCAATATATAACGAATATATTGTGTATCTGGGTTAAAAACAGTACATGTTTCTTATGAACAATAAGCCACACTTTCTATGAAAACGAGAGCAGGATTGGAGGTAAGATGCCGCAGGCCTGTGGAGGTTTGGAAGGCTGTGCCTTTGGGTCTACGACAAGCCGCACAGCGGCAGGTGTGCAGTGCCGACCCAGGAGGGGACGGCAGAGACCGACTCCCGGGAAACCCGCACAGAGAATGCGAGGTAAATGGCCATTTCTGTGTGCGTGCCCTCACATTTTAAAATGATTTCTATTCCATAACGTGCTAGGTTTCTCTGGCTGAAACCCAAATCTGTCTTCCGTCTAGGGCTGGACCAGATGCCCAGACGTCGTTTCTCCGGGCCCGGGAGGGCCACCCTCTCAAACCCTCCTGACGCGGGTCTACCCGCTGCTCTGTGAGCAGAAGTGAAATAATGGCGCAGCGCACTTACCAGTTGCCTCTGGTCAGTAGACTCCGGGCTTCCTGTACAAAGGAAAGTATTTTGGTTTGTGCATTTGTGGATGAGAGGTAGCAAAGAGACACAGCCTGTGAACAGCCTGGAAACACCTCCGGCCCCTAGTCAGATAGAGCCGGCACCGCGGGCCGGTGTCCTCTGACCCTCTGGGCGGATGGAGGCGAAGGAGCCAGGACCTTCACACCTTCCCCTCCCTCGGCAGCGCGGTCGACCTGGTTAGTTGGGGACACCGCGCAATATTCATTTCCGAAACGCTGGCGACCCGACAGAGGGTGCCCGGCCCAGGCGAGAGCCCTGGGGAGCGCCCGTCCGCGGCCGCGAGGGGCTCCCAGGTCTGCTTCCCCGACAGCAGGGTTCTCGGGGGGCCCCTCCTGTCCTGCCCCTAGGGGAGCCGTTGTCCCTGTCCAGGCGCCCTCCCCGGCCGAGCCCCACCCCCTAGAAAATTCCCTTTGTGGGGACCCCCTCCCTGTCGGGAGCCGGCTTTCCATCCGAGCGCTCCTCCTCGGAGAGAGCCCCTCTCTCTCCGAGCCCCAAGTCCTTGCGGACACCTTACCTGTGCCCAGCACCTTGGAGCCGCCTGCGCGCCTCGCCCCGCTCTGCGAGCCGCCTCCGGGAGCAGGTGTGCGCTCCCGCCCCGCCACGCCCGTCCCGGCCCGGCCTCCTCCGGCCTCTCCACTTGGCACTGCCCTCTTCCCACCCCGGCCAGCTCGCAAGGTCTCCAGTCGCCAGGCTCGCGCTTCCCTCCACGCCCCGCTCTCGGAGATGCGCCTGGCCGCTGGCACTCCCGAGGGCGTGTGCTGCGGCAGAGGCTGGCTCCTGCGGTCACCTACAACGCAATCACAGTCCCAGCAAAGGCTGTGGCTCTGAACGTGTTTTCCAAGCCGAACAGCCACCGTCAGTCGCGGATCACCCCCCAGCAAAGGAAGTCTTCGGTGGAACACGGGAATCCAGCTTCTCTAGTGTAAACTTGGAGGCTAAATGTGAGTGTCACATCCTTCCATCCATTCAACAAACCCGCCGCATGCCCGGCTGACCACAGATCTGACAGGTGGATACCACTGTAGGTGCTGGGATGGAGCTGTGAAAGAGACAAGTCCCTGTCCCTCAGCCTCCTGCCGAGGACTGCAGGACTTTCTTTGTAGTGTCACACTGTCACGATGTCCCCTGTAAGAGGTTGGCCTCGTGGAATGCTTCTGCGCTGGGAGTTTGCTCATCATTCCTGTGGACGTTAGAATTCAAGAGCTCAAGGCTCACCTCAGATCTACGGATAGGTACCTGGTCCTGGCAGATGCACCTATTAAAAACTTTCAGATCGGCTCAGCGCCTGTGGCTCAAGTGGCTAAGGCACCAGCCACATACACCTGAGCTGGCAAGTTCGAATCCAGCTCCGGCCCACCAAACAACAATGATGGCTGCAACCAAAAAATAGCCGGGTGTTGTGGCAGGCGCCTGTGGTCCCAGCTACTTGGGAGGCTGAGGCAGGAGACTCGCTTGAGCCCAGGAGTTGGAGGTTGCTATGAGCTGTGATGCCAGGGCACTCTACCCAGGGGGACAGCTTGAGGCTTTGTCTAAAAAAAAAAAAGACTACCTGAGTGCCCACCAGACTGTTAAGTGGAAGAGAAATAAACTATATCTTGTGTAAATCACAGCTATTTGAGGTTCTTGTTACATGCAGCTAAATCCATATCCTCACTAATGCAGAATATCTACCCTTCTGCTTTACACCATAAACATACAAAAATTAAAGATAAGCTTAACAAAATCTAAACATACCATTTACTTAGTCTAGTAATCACAATTTGGGGGCTCTGTTTCACAGAACTAAAGGATGATAAGAATCTAAAAGATTCTTATTATAGAATTGTTTATAATAGCAAGTATCTGCCAATATGGGAGTAGTTGAATATATTATAGTATGCCCTTTCTATGATATATTGTATGTCTCTAAGATATATTGTATTATAAAAGGATGACTTAGATTTATATTTATTGACCAGGGAAATAGTTATGATGTATTGTTAAAATTAAAAAGTTAGGCTCAGCGCCTGTAGCTCAGTGGCTTGGGTGCCAGCCACATACACTGGAGCTGGCAGTTTTGAATCCAGCCTTGGCCTGCCAAACAACAATGACAATTATAAACAAAAGTAATCGGGTATTGTGGTGGGTGCCTGTAGTTCCACCTACTTGGGAGGCTGAGGCAAGAGAATCGCTTCAGCCCAAGAGCCAGAGGTTGCTGTGAGCTGTGATGACACAGCACTCTACCAAAAGTGACATAGTGATACTCTGTCTCAAAATAAACAAACAAACTAAAATTAAAAAGTTTCAGATTAGTGAAGAATTTGCTTTTCTTTTTTTCATTTTATTGTGGTAAAATACACGTAACACAAAATTTACCCTAACAATTTTTTATTGTACAGTTCAGTGGCATTAAGAGCATTTACATAGTTGTGCAACCATCAGCACTTTCCATCTCCAGAACTTTTTCATCATCTCACACAGAAACTCTGTACCCCTTAAATGACAATCCCACATCCCTTCCTTTCTCCAGCCTCTGGTACCACTGTTCTACTTTCTGTGAATTTGACTACTATAGGTGTCTCATGTAAGTGGAATCATGCAATATTTTTCTTTTTGTGTCTGGCTTATTTCACTTAGTATAACGTTTTCAAGAGTCATCCTTATTGTAGCATTTGTCAGAATTTCATTCTTTTTGAAGGCAGTATAATATTCTGTTGTATGTATATACTACATTTTGTTTATCCATTCATCTCTTTTATTTATTTATTTTTTGAGACAGAGTCTCATTATGTCACCCTCAGTAGAATGCCACAGCAACCTCAAATTCTTGGGCTTAAGTGATTCTCTTGCCTCAGCCTCCCAAGTAGCTGGGACTATAGGTGCCTGCTACAATGCCTGGCTATTTTTAGAAACGAGATCTCACTCTGGCTGAGGCTGGTCTGGAACCTGTGAGCTCAGGCAATCTACCCACCTCAGCTTCCCAGAGTGCTAGGATTACAGATGTGAGCCACCGCGCTCAGCTCCATTGATGAACATTTGTGTTGTTCCCACATTTTGGCTGCTGTGGATAATACTGCTAGGAAACTGGTTATGAGTACCTGTTTGAGTCCCTGCTTTTACTTTTTTGTTGTATATACCCAGAAGTGAAACTGCTGGTTCAAATGATAATTCTATGTTTTCATTTTTGAGAAACTATTAATATCAGTAGCTGCACCATTTTACATTCCCATGAGCAGTGTGCAAAGATTCCAGTTTCTCCACATCCACACCAGCATTCATTGTTTTCTGTTTATTAGATAATCTAAGTCTTACTGTGGTTTTGCTTTGCATTTCCTTAATGATTAGTGAGGTTGAACATCTTTTCATATGCTTATTGGCCATTTGTATGTATTCTTTGGAGAAATATCTATTCAAGTCCTTTGCCCATTTTTGAACTGAATATTTTGGGTTTTATTGTTGTTATTGTTGAGTTGTAGTTCTCTGTGTATTTTCAATATTGATCCTTTGTCAGATATGTAATTTGAAAATATTTTCTCACATTATGTGGAGTGCCTTTTACTATGTTGATAGTGTCCTTTAAGGCAAAAAGTTTTAATTTTAATGAAGTTTAATTTATTGTTTTTGTTTATGTTCCTGTGATTTTGGTGCCATGTCCAACAAATCATCTGTGTATCTTCCTGGTGAGGAGTCTGTCAAGGTCTTTGGCCTATTTAAAAAATTGTACTTTTTCCTTAATGTTGAGTTTTCAGAATCCTTAGTATATTTTAGAAAACAGTCTTTCAATAGATAGGTCTTTCATAAATATTTTCTCCTAGTCTGTGGCTTATCTTTTTCATCCTCTTGTCAGTGTTTCTAATTTTTTTTACAGAGAAGAAGTTTTTAAGTAAATTCCAGCTGATCAATTAAGTCAAAAATTGTTCAAAGAGACAAACAAGGACATTATATATTGATAAAAGGATTAATTCCCCAAGAAGATATAATAATCACAAACATTTGCACCAAATATCAGAGCTTCAGAATATATAAAACAAACATTGACAGAATTGAAGGGAGAAATAGACAGTTCTACATAAAGTTAGAGATAACTGCCCCACTTTCAATATTGGTTACAACAAACAGAAAGTAAATAAGGAAACGTCAAACTTTAAACACTATAAATCAACCAGACCTAACAGACATGAACAGAATCCTCAACTCAATAATAGCAGAATATGCATTTTTCTTAAGGGCATGTGAAACATTTTCCAGGATAAACCGTATGTCAGGCCACAAAACAAATGTTTACTCAATTTTAAAAATATTGAAGTCAAGCAATATATCTTTTCCAATCATAATGGAATGAAACTAAAAATAACAAGAAAAACTGGAAAGGTCACAAATATGAGGAAATTGGCTCGGCGCCTGTGGCTCAAGTGGCTAAGGCGCCAGCCACATACACCTAAGGTGGCGGGTTTGAATCCCCAGCC